CCTTACTTTCTCCTTCAGCGACGCTTCAATAAATAGTTCGTAACTTACCGTCGCGATAGGTTCCAGTAGTAAGAAGGTGACTGCCATGTTGGGAGTGGACTGTAGAGTATCCTACTCCCAGTCTTTCACAGCCTCGCAATCACTGGTTTCATTTGCGCGGTATCGACATTGCGCCGTCCGCTGCGCTTTTGTTACATTATCTTTGTTGTTTTGCGTTATTTGCAAATTTTCAATTCCGTTTTTCTCAAATTTTGCGCTGCGAGTGTTCCTTTTCGGTTTTAGGTAAAACAACGATTTCCAATGATGGCGCGACCATTCTTAAACTCTTGGATATCGTCTTTCCGGCTGCCAATGTAATGGTCGACATTGCGAAATCCCAAGATGCTGAAGTGGGCGACGGAACCACATCAGGTTTAGTTTGCAGACAGAATAATTGATAATTTCAAATAAATCTAAGGGCATACGTTGCAGTTGTTGTGCTAGCCGCAGAAATCCTTAAACGGATGAAGCCTTTTATTGAGGACGGGGTTCATCCTCAGTTGCTTATTCGTGCAATAACAAAAGCAAGTGAAGAGGTTAGCACTAATACTGTCAGACGCCTTCTGTTTGATTATCATTTTAATGCTTTCCTTAAGGCTCTGGATCATTTGTCCAAGTTGGCCATTAAAATCGAAGGTGAAAAGGAATTGCGAGAAATGCTGGTCAAGTGCGCCATGACCACACTTAGTAGCAAGCTTGTAAGTTCACCTTTCTTTCACTTTTGTGTGCCAAATTTTTTCCCTGTTGATGTTACCAACTCGTGCTCTTTCATTTCTTTGTTCGAAAATTTCCATCAGGATACTCCTCATTTCACCTCGTTGTTATAGGTGAGTCAAGAGCGTGAGTTTTTCGCTGAAATGGTTGTGGATGCAGTGAATATCCTTGACGAATCCTTACCACTAAATATGATTGGAATCAAGAAAGTTAGCGGTGGAAATTTGAATGTGAGTTCTGCCGTGGATTATGAAGTGATGAACCTTGCAGTATCATTTCGTGTTCTCGTTTAGGAGTCTCGCCTCGTTAGAGGAGTCGCCTTCCAGAAAGCGTTCAGCTATGCAGGATTTGAGATGCAGCCAAAACATTACAAAGATCCCCTTGTTGCTCTGCTCAACATTGAGCTGGAGCTAAAGGCAGAAAAGGACAACGCAGAAATGCGTCTTACGACGGTCGAGGATTTCCAGGCTGTAAGTATTCAGCAGAAATCTCACCATGATCTAGAAAAAAAAACAGTGAAAGATACTGGATTTTATTACATTGACATCAAGGTGCAGTATAAGTTGAGCTAGACATAGACCTAGCTTCCTGACTGGTTCATCCCCTGGGATATCAGGGTTGTAGTCTCTACCATTTAAGCTGGGTTCTCTGAGGTGGGCTGGGACAACGGAAATTTTAATGTCACGGATGTGGTTGTAAGATGAACATTATTGTGATTTTTGGACGGGCGAAAATTATTGTCATGTTTGCGTTGGATAAGCTGTATTTCGAAGATATAGTCGTATGTCTCTCTTCAATGAGAAGCCAAAAATCGCACACTTTACTGCAGACCGCGGTCCATTGAAAAGCAATTGCTTTCTTTCATAGAAGTCTCGTTCGATTCCCAGAGAAGCACCGTTTCCAGGTTGTTGATGCAGAATGGAGCATATTGTACGAGAAGCTGCAGAAAATCCACGATAGTGGTGCCAAAATAGTGCTGTCGAAACTTCCGATTGGAGATGTCGCTACGCAGTGGTTTGCAGACAGGTAGACGGGATTAAATCACTTAGTTTGCAAAAATTGACGTGTGTAAAGTGTGCAGATGTATTACGATACCTCCCATTTATCGTGAAACCTTGTTTAGAGATATGTTCTGCGCCGGTCGCATTCCTCAAGAAGATCTGGACCGTGTCATGGCTGCTTGTGGTGGATCAATTTTGACCACAGTTTCTCAGATTGATGAGTCGGTACTTGGAAAATGTGCCACATTTTACGAGCAGCAAGTTGGGAGTGAGCGGTACGTCGGTTCTTTCTCATACTGTTGTTTGCTGTCGCTTGTGGTTAGTCATCAGCCTTTTTTATTTGCATGTTTCAGGTATAACTTTTTCGAAGGCTGTGCAAAGGCTCATGCATGTACTCTCCTTCTGCGTGGTGGCGCTGAGCAGTTCATTGCAGAAACAGAACGTTCTTTGCATGACGCCATTATGATTGTTCGCCGTGCGAAAAAGAATGATTCTGTAGTGGCAGGTATGTGGTGGTGTGAACCTCACAGCTCTTTTTTTATTCATTCGAAATAGATCCTTTTTTGATTTAGTGAGACTGTCCTTGTTGTTAATATTAAATTACTCTAAACTGTTCAAAGTTGCTACTTTTAGGTGGTGGTGCTATTGAGATGGAGTTATCGCGTCATCTACGCGCCAAAGCAAAGAAAAATAAAAAAAAAAAAAAAAAAAATAAAAATGCACGATTGCTGGAAAGGAACAGTTCTTTTGGAATGCATTTGCCCGTAGTTTCGAGGTCAATCATGGAGAAACTCAGTTTTTATCTTCTACTAATTTCTCATTATTTTTGTTTGCAGATTATTCCTCAACAGCTCTGCTACAATGCTGGAATTGATGCTATTGATATTTTGAACAAACTTCGTCACAGACATTCGCTAGGTATAATTAGAGCACCGGACAAATAGGTCTCAGCAAAAGTAGCCGACGTTTGAAATGTTAAAATTAAAGGTGAAATTTGGGCTGGAGAGTCGATATCCATAAAGAGGAAGTTGGTGACAACTCTTGCTGCTTGTATTTGGGAGCCAAGCGTAGTGAAAAAGGTTTGTTTTTTCTTTATATTACCGTTTCCAAACCATTTTGTAACTTCATTTCTTGAGCATTCTTCTAGTAAATCTTCACAAGCTTATGCTTGCGCAGAATATTTCTGCCATGAACGACGAGACTCGAGTTTTTTAGACAAACACGACTGTCCACAGTTATTCTTCTGTCTCAGTTCTCTTCATCCACGTGGATGGTCCCCTCATATGCGTAGCCTGTGCAGTTGATTATTAGCGAATCGTGCACTGGATGCGACGTTTCAGATTCCTACCTATGCTTTGCAGGCGTGCGAGAAAAGGACATCTCACGGGTTGTGTGTCCCAGTTTCTCATGGCCTTTTTATTGGCAAGACAAGATAGCGGAAATTAAAAATATCGCTTGTTAGGTGCGCCCTTCCCACACAGTGCAAATGCTAGAACATTCGTTGCTAATGTGTTAACCAGTTTTGGTGAAAAATTCCACCAGCAGTAAACTTCACCGTTATCTTTTTTCAGTTTATTTCTTCCTCAGCTGAGTAAGCAGTTTTCTGGGAGTTTGTCCATGACAGTGTAGCACATTTTTTGCAGAATGCCATCATCGCTGCCACCGAGGCTGTGTGTCTTGTGCTGTCGATAGACCAGACGGTGAAGAACGTGCGGACTCCATCGGGAGGGCAAATGCCTGGGTTGCCGGGAATGTAATAAAAGTTGCCAAATCTCAGATATGTGCTCGTAATTCTTTGCATGTTGTTGTTCTCAAAGGAATGGTTAATTGTTTTGCTTTTGTGGATCTGAGTTTTAATAAGCAAGTCATCTCGCAAGCCCGCCTGTTGTGTGGAGCACTACTTTTCCTCATCGTCAACGATGAGATCACATCATGATATTGTTTTGTTTACGCCCTGTTTGTTGTTCGTATAAAAGAATTCAATTCACACCTATCTTGATTAGCCGTACAGTGTTGACTGTTGACAGCTAACCTACGAGTTTTCGGGGAACAAGGTATTAATAACCCTTCACTTGAGATTCTGTATAAGTAGTTATCGGTTAAGAGGTCAAGCTCGTAGCGTGGCTAACGCGGTGTATTTGAGGGAAGTGTACAGGGTGCGCCAAAATTACGGCGACAGCGATTTCGAGTTGCCTAGAATGAACATGCCACAATTCCAAGAAGCCAAAAATGCAGTAACGTTCACTGTTCAATAGTGAATCGTAAACATCTGCCAAATCTCAGA